TCTTTCACCTTCTTGGTTAAATTTATTCCTAGATATTTTATTCTTTTTGTTGTGATTGCAAATGAGATTATCTTTTCAAGTTCTCTTTCTGTTAGTTCATTGTTAGAGTATAGAAATACAATTGATTTTTTTTTTTTTTAAAGATTTTATTTATTTTATTTTTTCCCCCCAAAGCCCCAGTGGGTAGTTGTATGTCGTAGCTGCACATCCTTCTAGTTGCTGTATGTGGGACTCGGCCTCAGGATGAACGGAGAAGTGGTGCCTCGATGTGCACCCGGGATCCGAACCCGGGCCACCAGCATCGCAGCGTGCGCACTTAACCACCAAGCCACAGGGCCGGCCCTACAATTGATTTTTGTAAGTTGGTTTTGTACCCTGCAACTTTGCTGTAGTTGTTGATTATTCCTAATAGTGTTCTGATGGATTCTTTAGGGTTTTCTATATATAAAATCATGTCATCTGCAAACAGAGAGAGTTTCACTTCTTCCTTGCCTATTTGGATTTCTTTTATTTCTTCTTATTGCCTAATTGCTCTGGCCAAAACCTCCAGTACTATGTTGAATAGGGTGGTGCGAGTGGGCACCCTTGTCTTGTTCCTGTTCTCAGAGGGATGGCTTTCAGTTTTCCCCCGTTGAGCATGATGTTGGCTGTGGGTTTGTCATATATGGCCTTTGTTATGTTGAGGTACTTTCCTTCTGTACCCATTTTATTGAGAGTTTTTATCATAAATGGATGTTGGATCTTGTGAAATGCTTTCTCTGCATCTATTGAGATGGTCATGTGGTTTTTATTCCTCATTTTGTCAACGTGGTGTATCACATTGATTGATTTGCGGATGTTGAACCATCCCTGCGTCCCTGGTATAAATCCTAGTTGATCACGGTGTATGATCCTTTTAATGTATTGCTGTATTTGGTTTGCCAATCTTTTGTTGAGGATTTTTGCATCTATATTCATCAGCGATATTGGCCTGTAGTTTTCCTTCTTTGTGTTGTCCTTGTCTGGCTTGGGGTCAGGGTGATGTTGGCCTCGTAAAATGTGTTAGGAATTGTTCCATCTTCTTCAACTTTGTGGAATAGTTTGAGAAGGGTAGGTAATAAATCTTCTTTGAGTGTTTGGCAGAATTCTCCAGAGAAGCCATCTGGTCCGGGATCTTTATTTTTTGGGAGGTTTTTGATTACTGTTTCAATCTCTTTACTTGTGATTGGTCTATTCAGATTCTGTATTTCTTCTTGATTCAATTTGGGAGGTTGTATGAGTCTAAGAATTTATCCATTTCTTCTAGATTGTCCAAATTATTGGCATATAGTTTTTCATAGTATTCTCTTATAATCCTTTATATTTCTGTGGTATCTGTTGTAATTTCTCCTCTTTCACTTCTAATTTTATTTATTTGATCCTTCTCTCTTTTTTTCTTAGTGAATCTGGCTAAGGGTTTGTCAATTTGTTTATCTTCTCAAAGAACCAGCTCTTTGTTTCATTGATCCTTTCTACTGTTTTTTTTGTTGTTGTTGTTTAAATTTCATTTATTTCTGCTCTAATTTTTATTATTTCCCTCCTTCTGCTGACTTTGGGCTTTGTTTGTTCTTCTTTTTCTAATTCTGTTAGGAGTAGTTTAAAATTGCTTATTTGAGATTTTACTTGTTTGTTAAGGTGGGCCTGTATTGCTAGGAATTTCCCTCTTATGAATGCTTTTGCTGTATCCCATATGAGTTGGTGTGGTGTGTTTTAATTTTCATTTGTCTCCAGATATTTTTTGGTTTCTCCTTTAGTTTCTTCATTGATCTATTGGTTGTTCAGTAGCATGTTCTTTAGTCTCCACATATTTGTCACTTTCCTAGCTTTTTTCTTATAGTTGATTTCTAGTTTCATAGCATTATGGTCATAAAAGGTGTTTGATATGATTTCAATCTTCTTAAGTTTATTGAAGCTTACCTTGTTTCCCAACATATGGTCTATCCTTGAGAACGTTCCATGTGCACTTGAGAAGAATGTGTATTCTGCTGTTTTTGGATGGGGTGTTCTATATATATCTATTAAGTCCATCTGGTCTAGTTTTTTGTTTAATTCCACTGTTTCCTTGTTGACTTTCTGTCTGGATGATCTATCCATTGATGTAAGTGGGGTGTTAAGGTCCCCTACTATTATTGTATTATTGTTAATATCTCCTTTGAGGTTTGTTAATAGTTGCTTTATGTATTTTGGTGCTCCTGTGTCAGGTGCATATGTATTTATAAGTGTTATAAATATATACACTCTTGGTGGAGTGTCCCTTTTATCATTATATAATAAACTGTCCCTCCTTGTCTCTCATTGTGTGTTTTATCTTGAAGTCTACTTTGTCTGATATGAGTATGGAAACATTGCTTTCTTTTTTTGCCATTAGCTCAGAGTATTGTCTTCCATCCCTTCACTCTGGAGCCTGTGTTTGTCTTTAGAGCTCAGATGTGTTTCCTGGAGGCAGCATATTGTTGGCTCTTGTTTCTTAATCTGTCCAGCCACTCTGTGTTGTTTGATTTGAGAGGTCAATTCATTTACATTTAGAGTGATTGTTGATATATGAAGGCTTAATGCTGCCATTTTATCATTCATTTTCCAGTTCTGTATTTCCCTTGTTTCTTGTGTTGTGTATTTAGGACTACCTATTCAGCTTGGTAGTTCTCTATGATGGTTTTCTCAATTTTCTCCTCATTTATCATTTGTATCTCGGTTCTGATTATTTGTTTAGTGGTTACCATGAGGTTTGTATAAAAAATCTTGTAGATGAGATAGTCCATTTTCTGATAGCCTCTTATTTCTTTAGTCTAAGGTGATTCCATCCCTTTTCTCTTCCCCTTCTAAGTTATTGTTGTCACAACTTATTCCATCTTGTGTTGTGAGTTTGTGGTTAAAACGACAAGATTATAATTATTTTTGATGTTTTCCCTCCCTTTATCTTTAAGGTTGTAAGTAAATGTTTGCTAACCTCTTCTGATAGAGAGCTGCAATTTCTGATTTTGTCTGCCTATTTATCTCTTTGCCCAAGGCTTTGTAAACTCTTTCTTTTTTTTCAGGTTTGAGGGCCTTCTTGATCATTTCTTGTAGGGAGGGGGTCTTGTGGTGATAAACTCCCTTACGTTTGTTTGTCTGGGAAAATTTTTATTTCTCCATCATATATGAAGGATATTTTCACTGGTTAGAGAGTCTTGGCTGAAAGTTCTTGTCTTTCAGAATTTTGAATATATCATTCTACTCTCTCCTGGCCTGTAAGGTTTCTGCTGAGAAATCTGCTGAAAGCCTGTTAGGGGTTCCTTTGTAAGTTATTTTCTTCTGCCCTGTTCCCCTTAGTATTTTTTCTTTGTCATTGACTTTTGCCAGTTTTACTACTATATGCCTTGGAGAAGGTATTTTTACATTGATATATTTAGGAGTTCTATGAGCTTCTTCTACTTGTATTTCTAGCTTCTTCCCCAGGTTTGGGAAGTTCTTAGCTATTATTTCTTTGAAAAGCTTTCTGCTTCATTCTCTTTCTCTTCTCCCTCTGGAATACCTATAATCCTTATGTTGCACTTCTTAATTGAGTTGGATATTTCTCAGAGAATTTCTTCATTTCTTGTTAGTCTTAGTTCTCTCTCCTCCTCCATCTGAAGCATTTCTATATTTTTGTCCTCCAAGCTGCTAATTCTGTCCTCCATAATATCAGCTCTGTTATTCAGGGATTCCAGATTTTTCTTTATCTCATCCATTGTGTTTTTCATCTCCAACATTTCTGATGTGTTTTTCTTTATAGTTTCAATCTCTTTTGTGAGGAATCCCCTCTGTTCATTAATTTTATTCCTGATTTCATTGAACTCTCTATCTATATTTTCTTGTAACTCATTGAATTTTTTTATGATAGCTATTTTGAATTCTCTGTCATTTAGATTGTAAATTTCTGTGCCTTCAGGATTGATTTCTGGGTGCTTTTCATTTTCCTTCTGGTCTGGATTATTAATATATTTCTTCATAGTATTTTATGGCATGGATTTGTGCCTTCACATAGTGATAGTATTTGGTCACAGATTCCACCTGCTGCCACTGAGGGGTGGTGAGGAACTGTGTATTCTGAGCCTGCCTCAATCCCTGGCATCTGTAGCTGCTGCTTTTCTAACATATGCATGGGCGCTCTGGCTAACCGGCTGAGCTGGAGCACTGGGCAGGGTAAGGGGTACTCTCTTTCACATGCATGATCCCGGGTGCATTCTCACTCTGCCCTCGCTATCTGCTCTTCTGGGGTGCTGGCTTGATGAAGACACTCCCACAATACCTAAGCCGCCTCTGTGTGGGGCTTTCCCAGTGGCTATGAGAGAACTTGGAGAGTGAATGCCTTCCTGAGGAGGGCCGCCCCTCCCCCATCTTTTCTCAGAGCCACATGCCTGTTGTCCTGTGCCCTGGGTTGCTGTCAGGGAGGGAGAGGAGGTCCCGTTACCTCTTTCCACTTCTTCCTGTGGGTCCAGCACCTCCACCTTCAGACGTATGGCTTCATGGGTCTCTCAGACATCTTTTGTGTTGTGTAAATGTCCTCTGTTAGTGTATGAGTGTCCTTTTAGTTTTATCTTAGGGAGGAGAGTCTAAGGGAAGTGCTCACTCCACCAAGATGCTGATGTTACTCCCCTAATGTTAAGTTTTTAATCTGTAAAATAATATAAAATTTACCCACTCCAAAGTTTCTTCTGTGAAAATTTAAAGAAATTAAAAAGTACATGAAGTACTTAGTACAGTTTGTATAGGATGGAACTCTAGTACCATAGAGTCGGCTAGAGTGATTAGTAAGTGGTGAATATTAATATTATCTGGCACTGGCATCCTGAAATATATATAATCTTTGAATTTCCTTTAATCAGCTGGATTATATCCCTTAATTCTCCTCTCTTTGTGTTTCAGGTGGTGTTTCATTTGTTAGTGAAGACACGGAAGGGGTAAATCATCTTCTCTACTTATTATACCTGCATTCCAGTTACCAGTCCTGTGTGGGGACTCTGATTGCCCCTCAGTGGGTGTTGACGGCAGCACACTGCTTCTTACCATAAGTGATGGGGATCAATCCGCTCTGTTCCAAGGCTCCAAGGAGTCATCTATTTATCATGAACTCTCTTTAATATGAATAAACTTTTGTATTTACTTATAAACATATTTTATGGTAAATTAAACTACAAAGTTTCTTAAGAGAAGGAAAAAAGAGAAACAAAGGAAATAAAAAGAACATACAAGAGGAGACCAGTTTTAGATAGTTAAGAACACTGTAAGCATAAATGACTTCCCTTTACAAGAAAGGAGAGTGATCTTAGAAACAGAAAAAGCCAATTTTACAAACACAGACACACAAGAGAGTTACTACCGCTGATTTAAACAATAAGTTGTGCCTAACAGTTCCATCAAGTTGTATAATTAAAACACCAGTGCTTATTAACTCCTAAGGTGTGGAAATGGAGGAGGGGGTCATTAAGTGATCTTTCATTTATGCAGACGAGAGAGAGAATCTTATCACAAGGGTTTCTTCCCTTTTTGTTCTAATATCTCTCTCAAATGAACAGTCTTGCTCTTGTCAAAAGTTCCTCAAAGTGGCCACTGCAATTTCATATCGTCCTTGGGGAATTATGCCAATTAGAGAGAAATGTGAATTTAAATGTGAAGCAGCATGTGTTTGGTATAGAGGACCAAACAGACTGAGATGAAATGAGAACTGCAACAATCAGTAAAAACAACTTGGCCAAAGACCAGTCATCCCCAACTGGGGGCTCAGCAAAATCCTTTGCTCCAAGCAGATGAAACTAACTACAGAAGTTCTTAGGAACTCAAAAACAAGAGTAAGGAAAGTTCTTATAGTGTATAATGTCTTGTAAAAGTGACCCAAAGCAAAGCTTGTCTAAAGGATGCTTGCTATGATGAGATCTTCTAAACTTGCCAGTCCTTGGGGTTGGCTGAAGGATGGTCTTAGTAGGCCTATTCCTGTCCTATCCCTTTAGACTTCATCTTATAAACAAAGTGTCCCAACAAAATAACAAGGACATACTGAGAAACAAATGGTACTGTTGTTAGGAGACAAAATAAACTTAGCATTTGGGATCTCAACAAAAAAATTGGTGCTCAGTACCACTGTGGTACTTATCTCACTCTTGTGGTTGGAGAGACCCCTGAGTGGGAGACTCAGGGTCCTCAGGGGAGTGCCCTGTTCTGAATTTAGGGTCTTGAGCCATGTTAGTGAGTAGGTCTCAACTGCATCTCAGTGGAACATCCAGGATTTTTGACTATTGTTCTCCCAAAGGACCACCATAAAACCCTGTTAATCCAGCACGTTTTGATAGAGATGAGTAGAGCATTGTATATTCAGATGATCCTCCCTTGCTTAAAATATTTCAACTCTCTAAGCTGTTATTCATTTCCTTTGTACAGTCTCACATTTCCTGTTCCCTCCAACTCCCAAAGGAGCCTCCCTAACAGAACCTACAACTTCATAGAAACCTTGACTATCCATTTGTATGCTTCTTTCAACTGTTTCTAGGTCTCGAGTAGGAGCTTCTCTCTGGAATTATGCTAAGAGTAGAGTCCAAGCCATTGCATGTGTAACTCCTTGAGGCACCATTCACATTATAGTCTGTGTGAATGGCAACCCATTTAATTGTATAGTGCACAACCTACATAACCACATGTGGCAGCTATGCATCAAAGATCAAATGGACAGAGATGAGAGAAGGTTAAATGGATTACTATAGAAGGAAATTGTGTGTATGTGTGTGTGTATGTGTATGTGATTAGCCTCGTGATGTGTGATAGTATCAATATTTTTTGACTCCTTCATTTTCCAGTGATCTCCACATCATCTTGCATGATGGTTCCCGAAATTTTCAAGGCTTTCCTGGGGAGATTCTACCTTATGAGAAGATCATCATTCACCCAAACTTCACTGTTACTTCTCCTAAAAATGACCTAATGCTGATAAAGTTGTCTGTGTCTCTCACCTTCTTCTCCAACCAGGTTTTTCAGTTGCCTACTCTCAAGAAGAATGAAATTAAAGATTGCTTGATTCACACTTGGTTACAGAATGAATTTATCGGTGAGTGACTGTCAAAAAGAAGAGTGAACATCTTGGATATGTTCATATCTCCAGGATCTCTGAAGAATTAGGGGAAGGAATTGGAACTTATAGACCTAGTGCCAGATTTCTAAGCACATGTGTGAAGCTAAAAATGGAGCAACAATATTGGCTCTCTAGAGCAGAAGTCTCCTTTTGGGCTTTGGGAATCAAATCCTAAATCAAGGTGTTACATGTATGTGTCACATTGGTATACACTGTAGGTGGCTAGGATCAAAGATCTATGTTTAGGTATTGGTTCTGCCATTCATTATAGGGTTATGGGTAAATTCTTTAACTTCTTTGAATCTTAATTTGCAAATTGGTGAAAACCATATTTTCCCTTTACCTAACAGGAGCAATATTGTTATGAATTACAATGACAATGATAATAGCTACCATTTATTGAGCATTAATTAAGTACCATGCACTAAGCATCCTATATGTATTATACAATTGTAATAATACATCGTGTAGATAAGTTTTCTTAGGACTGATATCTTATAAATGAGGAAACCAAGACTCAGGGAGATTAGCTAATTGTCTAAAATCACAAACTTGGTGATGGCAGAGCTTGGATTCAGATCTTGTTTGATATGTGGAGTGTCTTCTCACCAACCCCCTCTTGATGCTGATGATCTGTCAAAGATGATTGACTGAGCAGGAGGATATGTTTAATCCATGATACAGTCCATTCTAACTGAGAAGCAGCTCTGAAGGAGGAGGAGGAGGCAGGATGCCTTGTGAAAATGCAAATAGGAATGGAAGTCTGTTTTATATCTTGTGCTTAGGAAATCCACACAGTGACCTGCACAGCATTAAGACTCAAGTGAATCCTGTTTTAAACTGCAAAATATTGCTGGGTGAAAAAATTCTTGAAGACATGTTCTGTTTGGGAGACATAGTAGGAAGAAAAGAGCAATGCCAGGTAACTTTTCTCATCTCATTTGCCTGTAAGCACAATCTTTGCTCTTTCTCTTTGTCTTTGAGTCTGCTACCTCTCTTCCTGGATTTTGCAATCAGGCTAAGAGCTCAGAGAGTAAAGGACTGAAGAATGATGACTCTCTCTCCTCTGTCCTGTGTTAGAGATGAGAAATAGATTTTGGGGGAGTGTAAAGCTATCTTCCAGCTACTGCTTTGAAATTTCTGTTTAGGGAAGACTGGAAGGTAGAAGTAGTTAGTGCAGTGGAAAGAAGCTTTTATGCTATTTTCTTATATCCTGGGCCCCTTCGCATGGCAAATATAGTGGCTTTCATTTTTGTTTGGAGTTTAAGGAATTTTCAGGGGGGAGGGAAGTTCTGATCTCTTCTACTCTGTCTGACAGGTGGTCACAGCTGCACCAGCTATATGTGGCAGTGAATTACAAGGAATTATGTCTTGGGCAACTGGATGTATTCTGACAGGATATGCTATTGTCATCACTGACCTCCACAGCTACACTCCATGGATCAGGAACATTATTTCTACAAAATAAGCTGATATAGAGCTCCATTGACACCCTTAACTTGCAGCTGATCTATAGCAACTGCATTATGTCTGTCAGTCCCAGTCTTTCCTGGAATATAGGCTTGACTAGAGTTTTAAAAGACATCATTGATGACTGCTGAGTGCTGGCATGACTCTGGTTTCTTTAACTGCTTATTTGCTTATTCCCAACTCATTAATAAGTGTTTATAACGTTGAAAACATGAATGCTGGTCTTAAGAAGTGGAGTTCACCCAGAAGCTTTTTGGATTCTACCAACTCAGATACTTCTGTTAAAATATTGTCTGCTTTATCCTAAGAACACAAAACACAAGTGAGAATGTGGGGTAATAGCTACTAGGAGTCTATTTGGACAAGATGTAAACCATATAGCTGGGCAATAATTTGCTAAAATTTGGTTAAATGATTTAGCAATTCTTCTAATGACCAGGTGTCTCCTAAGAGTGTGTGTGTGTGTGTGTGTGTGTCTATGGATGGTTGCAGTTAAGGTTTGCATTAGCTACTTAAATGATCTATAGAATTCAAGTTTTGCTTAGGTTTGCTGAGGCCACCCAAAGGTCAGTGTAATTTTTGAAGTAAGTATTTCTGTATTTTGAACTATGGCTGTAACGCATATTACAAATATCAAGAATTTCATAAATGGTAGGATGGATTTTTTCCAATACATTTTTTCCAGTTTGCTGTTTTTTCATTTGCTTAAAATCACAGTATAAATAATTGTCCTGTCAATTTCTCCTAAACTCCAATCCTGTAGATGATTGGTTCCAAAGCCTTTTCTTTCCTATCTCCCATTTTAGCTTGGTCTACCAAGAACTTCAGGTAGCCTGTGCTCTGTCTTCTCTCACCATTACATCCACTTCCCTCTCTTGACATGCTCACCAATCACTGCTGCATTCCCTTTCTGGTACCTTTTTCTCTTTACATGGGTTGGGGCTAATGTTCCATTCCCTTCTCTTTAACTTAAGTCTATTGCATTGAAATGGATCCTTGGTACAAGCCAACAGATTTCAATGTAGTAAATGGAGAACACAACAATAATGGGAACAGGAAGGCTTGCCCTGTTTGGTCAGGTAGATGGTTCTTCTCTGCACTCGGATTCCTATCTTGTCTTCACCCTTCTGGTTCAATCATGTCTGACTTTCAGCTCAGGAGGAGAGGGATTACCTTTCTTCAGCCCATAACTTTATTTATAGATTACTTCAGAGATCCCTTCTACACTCATGTACATATGTTACATATTTGGCTTCTATTTACTCCTAATTTATTCTGTTTTTATTTGTTTGTTTATGTCACACCCACTCCAGTTTCCTGGAGAGTTCATTCAGTAATCTGATTATGGGTCTTCATTTCTTTTGGTTCCCTGGATAAACTATTCTAATCTCACTATGTTTATTACCACATACTTGCCTACTATTTACACACTTCTGACACCACACCTTTTTTTTCCCGGTCCACCTCCGTCTTTGGAAATATCTAGGGGATTGATATTCAGTAAACTCATTCAATTCTTAGCCTAGAATTGAAAAATTTGTAAATTTGGAAAATCATTGAACTATGTTTTATAGGTTTGTTTTATCTGTAAAACAAAAGAGTTAGACCTGGTGATCTTGGGAGTAGACACTGTGATTACCTTTCCAGTATCCACTCCACCCCTCCTCTATTATGTCACAATCATATTCTGTGGGTGTGGCCTGCTTTACCTAAGTTTACCAGTGAAATCCCTGTGTTTGGTTCAGGAGTGGATATATCACCAATTTGGCTTATTAAACATCAATTCCTGTATTTATATTCAATATTGAGATAATGCTGTAATGAGCTATGTTGAGACAGTGCTCTGGGCAATGTGGCATGTGACTGAGATGTCAGAATTGCTGCTGCCATTTTGCAGCCATCAGGGAAGCTGACTAAGGATGAAGCACATCCACAGAAGAGGTCAAAACAAGAGAAATGCCCAGAAATGTAGCTGAAGTTCTGATAAAACTGTGCCAGAATTTAGTTCTTCTCTCTGGATATTTTTAGTTATCATCTACTAGATTCCGTTCAATGTATAAGACAATTTGAGTTGGGCTTTCTGTTGCTACAATTAAAAACATCTCAAATGATACAGTTTCCAAAATCCCTTCTATCTCTGCCATCAATCTAGACTAATGTGTCCTAGGTGCTTTATATGCTCATTCTTATTAATTTTCATGGAACATCTGTGGAGTCATTTTTATTGGATGCAAACCTTCTGCATCTCCTCAGATCTTCTCAACTGCATCTTTCTTTCCAAAGGCGTTGCCTGCCTCCTAGATAATTCTGTTGTCACCTTCTATGGGCTCTCCAGGTTGGTTGGAGACTGAGTTGAAGCTCTAAGCATGAATAGTTCTCATGTCCATAAGCTGAGCCTATCCATGCCAAATGGCCACACTACTTTAAAACTTGTGTAAAAAGACACAGTTTCAAGTCTTGGTTTGGGCTTCTTGAGTGACCATCAAGGGGAAGAGGGTACCATCATGAGTTCTGAGTAGTTGTATCCTGGGGCATGAACCTTGACCAATGAGAAATGAGACAAGGGGGAGCTATACAGATAGACTCCCACTATTCTCTCCCTGCTCTGGGCTTCTCTGAGGGGTGGTTTTGTCTTTTACATCTTCCTATAGCTTTGCTTCAGGTCTCTCCTTGCCTCACTTCCACTTATTCCTCACCCTTAATTCCCCGAGTGTGTAACTTTCAGAATGTCAGCTCTTTAATCCTTGCCTCTGCTTTCTAAGGGACCATCTTTATTCTATAAGGCAGCTGATGTTCAGGGATTAGCTTGTTCCAAATCAGTCTGGAGGAGTGATGTCAGCATCATGGTGGAGTGAGTTTCCCCCATTGAATTCTCCCCCTCTAAGACACAACAAAAAGGACATTCATATTCCAACAGAAGCTATTCACACAACACAGGGGACGTCTGAGGCAGCTGTACACCTGAGGACAGAGGTGCTGGAACCCCCAGAGGAAGTGGAAGGAGGTAAGAGGAGCTCTTTTCCTTCCCCAAGGACTGTGACCCAGAGACTGAGACCCCGCGGCTCTCAGAGGAGAGGGAGGGGGCGGCTCGCCACGTGAAAACCAGTGCTCTCCAAGACCCGGCACAGCCCGAGGGGATCCCCCTATGGAGGGAGTGGAACTGTTGCGAGTTTCAACGGGCTGGCCCCTCAGGAGAGCAGAGAGCGACAGCAAGGTGAGAAACCTCTGAGATCAGGGAGGCGAAAGTAAGCACCACTCCCCTACCCGGCCCACCTGACTGGCGCTTAAGTGCAGTGGCGCTTCAGCTCAGCCCCATTCCCAGGGGCAGCGGCCCCCAGGTGGCTGGGCCCCACCAGTAGGGGCAGCGTGACAGCGCCCCACTCCCATGGGTGGTGGCCCCCAGGTGCCTGGGCCCGACCAGCAGTGGGGCAAGCCTGTGCCCCCACACCAGAGGCAGTGGCAGCTCAGGCCCCACCATGCCACAGCCCCAGCTGCTCTGGGTGGACCAAGCCACGGCCCTGGCTTCCCCATGCCGTGGCCCCAGCTCCTTTGGCTGGACCGTGCCCCACCCCCAGCTCCTTTGGCTTAACCACCCCCTACACCCCTGGCTCCAGTGGCTTCAGCTTGGCCTGTGCTCAAGCTCCAGCTGACTTGGCGCCAGCAGATTCAGCCCACCGCACTCCAGTTCCACCTTCTTTGGCCCAGTGCACTTCAGTTCCAGCTTCTTTGGCCCAGAGGCACTCCAGCTCCTCCTTCTTTGGCCCAGTGCACTCCAGCCCCCGCTTCTTTGGCCCAGTGGCACTTCAGCTGCAGCTGCTTCAACGCACCCACACCTGAGCCCCAGCTGCTTCAGCCTAGCTGCGCTCCAGTCTCAGCTGTTCCACGCTCCAGCCCCAGCTGTTCCCATGCTTCCCCCCCCCCCCCCC